TTTACCATTTCTCTTATGATTTCTTCTTTCACCTGAGTTGTTAAATGTGTGCTTTTAAATTTCTAAACATATGGGGATTTTCACTTATATTTTAGCTATTATGTAATAGTTATCTAACTGCTTTGTAGTTAATGATATATATGATACCAGTTCTTTGACTACTTGTATAACTTACTTTAACTCTACTGTGTGGTCTGATATTACTCAGCCATTAAAAAGAATTCATTTGAATCAGTTCTAATGAGATGGATGAAACTGGAGCCCATTATACAGAGCGAAGTAAGCCAGAAAGATAAAGACCATTACAGTATACTAACACATATATATGGAATTTAGAAAGATGGTAATGATAACCCTATATGCAAAACAGAAAAAGAGACTCAGATGTATAGAACAGACTTGTGGACTCTGGGAGAAGGCGAGGGTGGGATGTTTCAAGAGAACAGCATCGAAACATGTATATTATCTAGGGTGAAACAGATCACCAGCCCAGGTTGGGTGCATGAGACAAGTGCTCGGGCCTGGTGCACTGGGAAGACCCAGAGGGATCGGGTGGAGAGGGAGATGGGAGGGGGGACCGGGATGGGGAATACATGTAAATCCATGGCTAATTCATTTCAATGTATGACAAAAACCACTGCAATGATGTAAAGTAATTAGCCTCCAACTAATAAAAATAAATGAAAACATATATATTTTTTTCATATACATGAAAAGAATACATATTCTGAGGACAGTGTATTAGATAATGTATATTAGACATTATTTTTTGTGTTGCTCAAATCTATATCCTTACCAATTTATTTTGTGTTTGATCTATTCTCAGGAAAAGTATCTTAAAATATTGTATTGTAACTTCATATTTTTCCTACATTTCTGTTTGTTTTTTGCTTTAACTATTTTAAAGCTAGCTATGTTATTTATTTTCTTGTTGCATGTAACACCTTCTTTTGACACTGATGCCTAGGGGGATTGACTTAGTACATTTGGCTAGACTGGAGTTAATTTTCAGTGAACAATCTTCAGCTCTGCCAAGAATCTTTCCACTGTCTAGGAATTTATATCAATATGCACTTAAGGTGTACAAAGCAAAGAAAGCATTAGATGAGTGGAATGTGTAAATAACACCAGCAGGATTTTGGGCAAATTATTAGTTTGGGTGTTTTGTTGGTGGTGATGAGAAAGTGGAATTTGTACTCCTCTTGTTGAATTTATTAAATCCATTTAATATTATTTCTTTTCATATGTGGTGCATTCTCTTGTTCATGACTCGATGTTTTTGTCCTTCAAGAAGAAAAACATGCTCCTGGGGGCCCTGAGTCGGTGATGGGGGGAAGATGAGGAAAGGAGCCACAAAAAAGGTCCCATTTGCTTAACATCTTATTAGTCTGGAGTGTCCTGTCTGCATCTTTCTTCTCCTTTGTAGTTTTGACTCCTTAAGGTGGCAGGAAGGAGATGAGCTTTTGGAAAGTTTCACTTTAAAGGAAAATACTGCTGCCCCAGTTTCAACTGCCACACAAGAAATCATTAAATAACATTATACAAAGTGTGGATGTTACTAACATTAAACATTGGACACCTAGCCCAACAGTTTTGAAATCTTACTTTCGTGGAAACATTTTATAAAAATCCAGGTTACTTTTAATCCTAAACATATTCAGAATATGATAGCAATTACCCATCACTCTTAGAGATATGCAAGAACAATAACATTTTTTAACTGACAGAGCCTAGTTTCTTTTGAAGTGCTTTATCAGGAACAAAAATGATGAAGTGTGCTGAGAATATGCAAATATATTCAAGTGCACACAATTAAAACCCTGAGATGTATTTGATGATAAATCACTTCACTGTGGTTGCAAGTATTCGCAATAGGAATTCAAATTGATAATTATGATTATACGATGGTTAGAATAGCTAACAGTTTTCCATTTTTGTCTGCTTTTTGAAATAAAAAGAGAAATGTAATGCCTTAAAACCACTGTCTAACAGGCAGATTGCATTTCAAATAGATGAGAACTTTTTCTTTCCTCTGGCTATCTTGTGTAAAAGTACCTAGAGAAAACCACACGTACAAAAAAAAAGAAAGAAAAGGCAAGTCTTAACCCCATTCCCCACTCCTGACTTCTGGATAAATTTCCAAAGCTTCTTCCAGTTCTAAATTACCTCCAGTACAGGCCTTAAAGAATGAGAGTGGATGCCCTATGTACCCATTACAATGCCAATGTGTTGTCGTGGAATTTAAGCCTTGTTCTAACCAATCGCTTCCCTGAGCAAACCCTGGACTGATGAGAAAGCCATGTGATGGGAACATGTGCAGGGATGTGTTAGAGAACGATCACTGTGATCCCTTTTTTTAAATTAGTTTTTAGTGGAGTATAGGTGACTTACAATGTTATGTTAGTTTCTGCTCTACTGCAAAGTAAATCAGTTATACATACACATATATCCATTCTTTTTCAGATTATTTTCCCATATAAATGATTAGGGTTTTCCAGGTAGCACTAGTGGTAAAGAACCTATGGAGGAGGGCATAGCAACCCACTCCAGTATTCTTGCTTGGAGAATCCCTATGAACAGAGGAGCCTGGTGGGCAACCGTCCATAGGGTTGCAAAGAGTCGGATATGACTGAAGCAACTTAGCGTGCACATAGGTGATTATAGCGTATTAAGTAGAATTCCTGGTGCTATACAGACTATCGCTATTTCTTGATTAAGACAATTCATCATCAGCTGGGCCAGTTCTCTATTTTTTGTAGCTTTTTCACCTTGGAGGACTGAGTCAAACTGAGCAGACAATCTTCCAATTCAGAAATCACATGGATTGCAAACATGATGACTTTACAGAGGTACAGAAGGGCAAGCTCAGATGTTAGGATCATTGGGAACTTGCTGGAGGGCTGGTTTGGTGTAGGGAAATCAATTCATTTCCTCCTCACAGAGGATCGCCCCTTAGAAGGAGATTGTTCTGCAACTCTCACCCTCATGTTTCATCTGCCTGGCCCCAGCTTATTTTAATTTTCAAATGTGCTTCTTTTATTTTTTTAGCTTATGTTGGATCATAGCCAATTAGCAACATTGTGATAGTTTCAGGTAAACAACAAAGGAGTTCAACCACACTACATGTATCCATTCTCCACCAAAGCCCCCTTCCATCCAGGCGGGCACATAACACTGAACAGGGTTCCCTTTGGTACGCAGTGGGTCCTTGTTGGTTAATGCAGGTTTCATTATCATTCAGGTATAATGTGACCAACAGATCATGAGATGATTGCCATTGAAAAGACAGTTGCTCATCTTTTCCGAGAGGAAGCAGCCGTTCCGGGCTAATGGGAAAGTGCCAGGGTTAGTTGGGAGGCAAGGAATAAGAGGAAGACATGGGCAAGAAACTTTATGGTGGTTCCTGCAGGAAGGAATTATAATACACCAGTATTATATGTGTACAGTTATATTGCATTTGCAGACTAAATTGTCGTGTTGTGAAAGTTTATGTGTTTTTAATCTTTTTCCCTTTTTCTTTCTCTTTCATTTTGTTACTTTTTTTAACTCTTCCTTTTTTTTTTTTGGTTTTGTTTTGTTTTGTATGGTAGAGAGGTTTAAAAGGTTTGGTGAGATAAGGTTAGCAGACTTAGGATTGGCTGGTTTGTATAATGTCAGTGGGCTTTGGGGCCTAGGGGCTGTCCTTAGTTGTCTGGTACCTGGCTGGGGAATAGCGGCCCCAGGATGTAAGAGCCTGATAGAGGAAGTTGGGGGTACCAGACAGATTGGTTGATATGCCTGTGAAAGGCATGCTTGCAGGTTGAGCCTTTTGCCACCTTCAGGAATTGGCTAGCCCTGGGAGAGTGAGTCTTTCCAGGGTCAGGAAGACCCCCAGCGTCAGATTCACGTAGTTAACACAGTGCTGTGATCAGCAGGTGTCCACATCCCCGTGTGTATTTCTCATGGCTTCGCACAGTTGTCTAGGAGTGACTGGAGAATGTCCCTGGTGTTCCGGTGGTTAAGAATCTGCCTGCCAATGCAGGGTTCCAGCCTTAGTCTGGGAGGATCCCACATGCTGTGTGGCGATTAAGGCCGTGCCCCACAACTACTGAGTCTGGGCTATAGAGCCCATAAGCCACAACTACGGAAGCCCATGCACACCAGGGCCCATGCTCTGCAACAAAAGAGGCTACCATAACCGGAAGCCTGAGCACCTCAACCAGAGAGTATCCCCTGCTGTCCACAACTAGAGAAAGCCCACACGCAGCAAAGACCCAGTTCAGCCAAAAATGAATTAATCTTTTTAAAGGAGTGACTGGACCCTGAGTAGCCCCACCATCTGGATGAGAAAGCCTGTATAGACTAACAGAACATTGTGTCGGAAGTAGGGCTCGCCTTCCTTCCTCCTACATCTTCCCAGGAGGTGGCTTCTGCCATGGACCTTGCTTGAGACATCACTTAATCTCTGAGTTTCACCTGTGAAATACAGGCCAGGGCAGTCTTACCTGCGGAGAATGAACTGGAGGACGGACGTGAAGAGGGACAGAAGACACAGTCCACAGTTCTGCCCAGGCATGATTCATGACCGTTTAGGAAAGAAGCAGCTGCCTTGAACGAAGCGTGAATTAAAATGGAAACAACACACTACCAGCAATGGAATAGAATCCATCTTTTTTAGTCTGATTTAAAGCTTATGCAGTAAGCATGAGCTCCATGTGGCATTCCTAAACTGAGAGTGTTGGCCCTGAGTTGAGGTAATTCAGAGAATCTGGCAATTCCGTGCCTCACTGTCAAGGGGTTGGCCAAGTCTGTTTCTGTTCATAATCGAACGATCACAGTGTGTTCTTGCCTCTTTCTTTTAAAGTAAAATTTGGGAAATTTCCCTTTAGGCCACTAAGCATTTCAGGTTTCCGCAGAACAATTTTGTAAAAAATTGTGTTGCTTTATGTCTGGGACAAAGTGCTAGAGAGATCTTGATTAAACTGTTTGCCAGGGGCTGTGTAGCCCGGCAGTCGCGGGCTATGGAGGATTTCCCGCCGAGTTACGGGGTGGTTGGTGAGGAGCCGGTCGAGGAGGCCGAGGCCCAGGTGGCGGCCTGGAGTGGGGACAGCGGCAATGTGTCGCTGAGCCACGGCAGCGCCTCGGGGCCGTGGGAGGACGAGGGCCCGGAGTCGGGCGCGCCGAGCCGGGATCCGCCGCTGCTGCGCCGCGCCGCCGCGGGCTACGCCTCCTGCCTGCTGCCAGGCGCGGGGGCGCGGGCCGAGATCGGGGCGCTGGACGCTAGCCTGGAGGACCTGCTCACCAGGGTGGACGAGTTTGTGGGCATGCTGTACATGCTGCGCGGCGACTCCTCTCACGTAGTCGGCGAGGGCGTGCCTCTCATTTACGCCAAGGCCACCGAGATGCGGCGAGTCTACAGCAAGATCGACCGGCTGGAGGCCTTTGTGGGCATGGTCAGCGCCAGCGTAGCCAGGCTGCAGGAGCAGGTCGCCAGGGCGGAGGCCGAGCTGGGGACGTTCCCCAGTACGCTCAGGAAACTGCTGCCCACGATTAACGTTCCCTCGTTTTTCCACAAGCCGCCCTCCGGCAGGTCCCAACTGACGGGCTACGAACACCCCGTCGTCTTTCGGATGGAAGACCATTTTCCCTGTTGTAGCGAAAGACATCAGGTCTGAGTCTGTCGGACAGCGCTACAAGAGGACAGGTCTGAAATTATCTGGACTGTTAACCAGATGAGTTGAAATTCCTGTTACCGGACACCTCTGGTGTTGGAGTATGAAACTGTAAAGTTTATTTTTTGCACACTTGATTGCTCACTCTCCTCATCATTTCACGTGGAATGTGTGGTTTTCTATGTCTTCCAGTTCAAACTTGAAACATGAAAGCTGCTTGGTGGGGGAAACCCGGAAGCAAAATGTATGAACTTACCTGCACACTGTGGCAGAACTGTCATTTTTAGGCATTTTACAGCTCAACTAACAGTATTACCTTTTCAACATTTGTATATTTGCAATACTCTTAGGAAAACTACTGAGCCCTTAAAGCCTTGTTAACTGGAGCCTAACAAATTATTGACCAGAGACGTATTCATACGTCTTTTGTTACCCAGACTATCGCCTGGAGACGGTTCGATATTCTCTTATAGAACAAATCAACGGCCGCAGCTGTTCCTTCCTGCAAAAATCTCCCAATCAACAAGTGCTGATAGTGACTCAGATTTCTATAGCATACTTCAGGGTAGGTGGTAAATTATTTTAAATTATATTAAACTTTCCATATGATGGATTGTAAACCAAAGGAAATTATACAGTATTTGAGAAAATGTTTTTATTGCAACTCATTCTGAAGTTGTATTTGAAAGTATAACTCCAGTCTTAATTTGTCCGTGCGTTTGGTTTGTAATTTAAAAATTAATAAAAAGTTTAAATTTTATTGGAAAAAAATAAAATAAAATAAACTGTTGGCCAATCCAGTTACAGAGAATTTTTTTTTTCTCTTGACTGTCTGGGGATTCTGCTTGTAAGTTTTGTTTGTTTCCTTACATGCCTGGTGTATAACTAGTTAGCAGCTGCCCAGGGTCCCAGATTTTGAGATAGAGGTTGGTGAGACTTTATAAGATTATTGCCATTCTCAAGAAGCAAATATAAACTAGATGTAGAGAGATGATTACATTTGTGTCCTGAGGACCTCAGCAAGCAGACACAATTGGAATATACCATCAACAGGGAAGCAACAAAGATGCATGGGTTTATGAAGCAGGATTGAAAACAGTTACCTGAATAAAAAGCAGGAAGATGGGAACTTATATGTTCAAATGCCAGCTCTGTTGAGAACATGCCTGTTGTTCCCACTTATTATTTGAAATAAACAATAAGCTGTCTCATTGCATGAGAGACTGCTTGCACCAGCCAGCTGATGACACTGAAATCCTCAGGAGCTTCAGATTTCTCAGGAAACACAAAACAATGTTCTTTAATGGAGACACTGAAATAATTTTGACTGCCAATGCATGAGTTTTAAAAATACATTATGAACTTTAATCTCTGGAACAGTGCCTCTCAGTGGAAGGTACAATTCTCAATAAATAGGAAAACTAAAACCACAAAAACCAGGGGTAAAACTGACCTTTCCCGAGAAGGAGAAAAAACTATTTGCAAATGATGGCTAAAAACTTCATGCCCTCTTTCTGGAAATATTCCCCAGCCTCCGCACAACAGATCTTAGGCTGTCTGGAGTTCCTGATCCTCATACAACTCTTCAAATTGGCTTCTCTGGTGGCTCAGATGATAAAGAATCTGCCTGCAATGTGGGAGACCCGGGTTCGAGCCCTGGGTCAGGAAGATTCCCCTAGAGAAGAAACTGGCAATCCACTCTAGTATTCCCGCCTGGAAAATCTCATGGACAGAGGAGCCTTGTGGAGTCCATGGGGTCGCAAAGAGCCAGACACAACTGAGCGACTGACACACACGGTATTTGCCTAACCAGAAGGTGAACGTTCTCAGTTGTGATGTTCATAAGATTTGGGAAACCCTGAAATAAGCCAATATTTGATGAGGGCAGTTTCAGGCTTCTTGAGGGATTTGGAAACCTACTTGTTTTTAGAGAGCCTATAGGAGCTCATATAGTTCAGGTGAGGTGGATATTGGCACAGAGTGTGTACCACTGGGTTTAATATCCACCCGGTCTGGCTCTCAGCAGAGTCAGACATGGGAACTCTCAAGTGATAGTCATTATCACCTCCAAGAGCTTTATCAAATGTGAAATTCCAGACTTTCTTCCTCCACAACCCTGTCGAACACACAACCCTGTCTGTCCTGCTGGACGGACTTCTCATGCTCATTGGGACACATGTTTCTGTAGTTTTCCATCATCATCAGAGTTTTTGGCTCCTTTCTTCCTCCCCTGCTTCTCTACCCAAGCTGGACCCCATGGCCCAGTTTGCACAAGTTCTTCGTTGGTATCTTTGCCTCCTTCATCCTCCTTGGCCTTTCACCATTCCCACCAGTCACATCCATATCTAGATAGAAACCCATTCTCATGCCATTCCCAGGTGCCAAGAACTGACAGAGGGAGTTGAGAAGTGCTGAAGTACTGCAGATAAATTCAAGTTTTCTGGATGCCCAGTTGTCAGTCCTCAACTCTCCTCTTCTCCCAGAAAACCCTCCACTACTATCTTTTTCAGGTGATCAAGTCTATCTAAAATGAGCCCCTCTCACTTTTAAAGATCTCTGATATTTTTGAGGTATTAACTTATGTCAACTTTTTTCTTCCATCATTTTTTCCTTTTCTTTTTTTTTTTTTTTTTCATGCAGAGAAGCAATGAGCTGGCTCCATGTTCATGGTCTCAACAGAGGGGTAAGACAGGGCGGATCTTACTGGCTTTGGTTTCAAAGAACCTGAGCTCTTAGGGGAAGGAGGGGAATTGACAATTAGCACAGTGCTGGATGAAACCCACCAGAGGAAGGATTCTCGTCCCCACCCCATCCCACCCAAATCCTTCCCCAGCTTAGGAGCTTCCTCTGAGATGGTGGCGAGGTCAGAGGCTGTGAGTCCTAGAAAGAGGAGACCGACTGTCTTCTTGCTTAACAGACTGCAGAGAGAAAATGGAGTCAACAGTGACTGATCAGACGAGTCCTTAATAAAGCAGAGATTAATTACTATACAGAGCACAAAGACAGCAGTAAGAGTCCCTGCCTCTGGCATAACATGGAAACAGCAGGCAGAGCCTCACCAGTTCAGTGGGATGAGGATGTGTAATATTAATACAAACTAGGCTGGGTTACAGGCAAAGATGATTTATATTTAGTGATCAATCAAGTTAAACTCTGGAATTTAAACCTACCTCTTCTACGTCTTCAACCATCTTCTTCCTCTCATATTAACAAGACAGAGCCTTCTGTTCTACCTTCACTGCAAGAATTTGTTGTTGTTTAGTTGCAAAGTTGTGTCTGACCCTTTGTAACCCCATGGATTGTAGCCCGGCAGGCTCCTCTGTCCCAGATTCCCCAGGCAAGAACACTGGAGTGGGTTGCCATTTCCTTCTCCAGAGGATCTTCCCAACCCAAGGACTGAACCCGTGTCTCCTGCACTGGCAGTCAGATTCTTTATCGCTGAGCCACCAGGGGAGCCCTCAGTCCAAGAATATCATGCTGTCATTCTCAACCACTGTTTTAGTATTTTCCAAGATTTATCAAGCCTTTGCGACACATATATCTCTTCTTGTGTTAGGTAATTTAAAGTCTCAAGGAGCAGAGTCTAACTCAGAGGACCTAAGACAAGAAGGTGGATGGTTTGACTCATGGAATCCAAGGAAAGGTGGAAAGGGTAAAACATTGGAGAGGCGTTAACATAACTGTGCCTCAGAAATAATTGGAACTAGAGTCACATCACTCTTAGGATTCTTTCTCTCCATTTCTTCAATCTACTTTCTGAAAACTGGAGTCATTATCTTTTTTTTTTTTTACAGACTAACTGGCTTACTCCAGCAGAGGAGAAATACAACTGCTGACAGCATCAAAGTTTTTCATGTTAAAATTTCTCCAGTGGGGAGAAGACTGACTCATGCTTTCTTTTTGATATCACACTCAAAAATCCACACATTCTGCATGTCAGCTCTAAGGTTTGCGGTGTAGGTAGAAATAGCTAGCAGAAAAGGCAGGGAGTGGAATGGAACAGACAAACAATAGCTGTCCATAACCTATTTTTAAGAGAGGTTGGCTGTCACTTCAGTGGCCTATAAGCTTGCACACTCAGTCACAGAAAGGAAATACTCACAGAGGAATTTGTAGTTGTTCAGTTGCTCACTCGGATCTGACTCTTTGTGACTCCGTGGACTGCTACACACCAGGCTTCCCTGTCCTTCACCCTCTCCTGGAGTTTGCTCAAATTCATGTCCATCGAGTGGATGATGTCATCCAACTATCTCATCCTCTGTCATCCCCTTCTCCTCCTGCCTTCAATCTTTCCCAGCATCAGGGTCTTTTCCAGTGAGTTGGCTCTTCACATCAGGTGGCCAAAGTATTGGAGCTTCAACTTCAGCATCAGTCTTTCCAATGAATAATCAGGGCTGATTTCCTTTAGGATCGACTGGTTTGATCTCCTTGCAGTCCAAGGGACTCTCAAGAGTTTTCTCCAACACCACAGTTCGAAAGCATCAATTTGTCGATGTTCAGCCTTCTTTATGGTCCAACTCTCACATTGATACATGACTACTGGAAAAACCATAGCTTTGACACAAAAGAATAGGAGTGTTTTATTCTTACTGCTTCCACTTTCTTCCCATTTACTCTCCTCAGTCTCTTACAGTTCAGTTCTTGCTTTGATCATTTAAAGAAATTCTTTTACAGGTCCCTGTGAATGACCTCATCATTCTCAAATTCAACTACCTTGTTTTTCTTTTTCCTTTTTTTTTTTTTAGTAACCACCCTCCTTTATCTTTCTTTTTTTTTAAATAGTAATCATTGACTCTGTTAATCAAAATCTTTTTTCCTAGCTCAGACCCATGTGCTGGTTTTCTTACCTGGTTCTCTTCCTACCTCCTAGATATGTCTATCTCCTTTGCTGATTTTTCCTTGTTCCACATGCTTCTAAATTATAAGTAATCATCACATTTTTTACCTCAATCACCTTTTTTCCTACTCTCTCTGACAATAGTTTGAAGCCTTCTGTAGCTTTT